TTCTTTAATCTCTTGAATAGCGCAGTTGGAGGCGAGATTCGCTTTGAGTCGACGTTTTAATTACTTGGGTGCAAGATACGACGGTTCGAAGGGATTCGAATGGGTGGATATCGAGACGGCTTTCGCGAATCGCGTACGAACGGGTGCTGTGGAACAATATCGAGTATATCAAACCTCGACGGTTTCTTGAGGACGCGAGGGCCACGGTGCTCGAGCGAGTGCGAGTCGATCTTGATATGCACGCGTGTTTAAAGGTCAATACCGTGTTTCACGGGGAGTTTGTCGCTAATGATAAAAGCGCCGTTAAGAGCATTCGCACGAAGAATTGTCAGCTATTCGGTATGTCCGATCTACGAGAATGGTACGACGGGAACGTTATGAATGTTGTTCTGACGTCGCTGGAGGAATTTCAGGAACGCGATAGAGGTTAGGCGTTATTTCGGATATTAAATTTAATGATTAATGTGTTAAATTTAATGTAAATAAGTGTAATCTTATGCATACTGGATGTTGGATGTTACTTCCTCCGAAGATAAAATATAAGAGAGCCGTGATTAATGTACGTTCACACGATAATGCGTGTTTCGCGTGGGCGGTGATGGCCGCTCTATATCCCGTTGATATACACTCGGATAGATCGGATCGTCGTATCCTCACTATTCGTTGGTGCTGAATTTCGATGGTATTGATTTTCCTATGACACTACGAAATATCGCTAGATTCGAACGTCTCAATGATTTGTCTATTAACGTATTTGCTATTCGAGAGAAAACGGGGAGAAACGATATCATGATCGTTTCTTTGTCGCTTACGGGAAACAAAAAGTCTACGCACGTAAATTTGCTCTATCTGTCGAACGAACGGCGCGGCGATAATGTCGGTCATTTCGTATGGATAAAGCACTTGTCTCGACTGTTAACGTCGCAAATAAATAAGCATAAGGAAAAAAAATACATATGCGATCGGTAAGAGAGATTATTCTCGTTGCGAGATAAATTTTGTATTAATTATATATTGTATTTTTCAGATGTCTACATTATTTTTATTCAGATGAGAAATTGGTCGCGCATAGCATCGAGTGTGGAAAAGCGAACGACTGTGCTGTTATTCTTTCGAGCGAGGACGACAAGTTGCTCTCTTTTCACAATCACGACAGAAAGGAGAGACTACGATTCATCGCGTATGCAGATCTGGAGTGTGTCTTAGAAAAGGGAAATCAACGATTCAGTGGGAGTCTCGACAATAGATTCCTCTATCAACACCACAAGACGTTTAGCATAGGATATTATTTGCATAGCACGTACGACGGAATCGTTTCTGCGTATAGATTTCGCCGAGGCGACGACTGCGTCTCGTGGTTCGTCGAGGAGCTGCGCGCTCTCGCGTGTAGCGTGAAGAAGATTCTGTGCGCGAGCGTATCGATGTCGGAGCTCACACCAAACGAGTGGAACGCTTTTCAAAAGGCGACAAATTGTCACGTGTGCGGAAAGAGTTTTGAGTCGTACGATATTCGTGTGCGTGATCACTGTCATCTTACCGGACGATATAGAGGACCCGCGCACGCGGGTCCTCTATATCGTCGCGAGTTGCAATTTGAATGATCAGAACGCGTTTGTTATTCCTGTTTTTTTTTACAATCTATCCGGTTATGATGCACATTTCATTATTAAGGATATAGCGAACGCTTTCGCGAACGCTAGAGTCGATTTGTTACCGTTGACTAAGGAAAATTACACCGCGTTTTCGAAAATCGTCAACGATTCGACGTACGGAAAATGGAAAACTTGTGTTAAGCTACGTTTCGTGGATTCGTTTAAGTTTCTTAATACTAGTTTAGAAAAAGTAGTTTCATATCTAGATCGAGAAAAATTGAGGATCTCGCGATTCGAATTTTCTGATCTCATCGCGGAAGATTTCGAGTTGCTCATGCGCAAGGGCGTATTTCCTTATGAGTATATTGATAGCATTGATAAACTGTTAGTGACCGAATTACCGCCGATCGAAGCTTTTTACAGTTCTTTAACTGGTGAAACTGTGAGTGTTAGTGATTACGAACACGCGCGAAGGATATGGGAACGTTTTCACGTGAAAACTCTCGGCGAATACAGCGATCTATATTTGAAAACGGATGTGCTTCTCTTGGCGGATGTCTTTGGAAATTTTCGAGATACTTGTATGGAAAGTTACAATTTGGATCCAGCGCATTATTTCACATTACCAGGATATACGTGGGACGCTATGTTGAAACATACGAACGTTCGATTCGATCTGCTCACCGATATCGATATGGTGATGTTCGTAGAGCGCGGTATACGCGACGGTTTAAGCCAATGCGCGAGTTAATAATCAATATGAATCATCATATGACTCGTCTCAGCCGTCGTCGTATCTTATGTATTACGATGTGAACAATCTTTACGGCTGGGCCATGTGCGAATCTTTACCGTATGCGGAATTTCGGTGGGTCAAGAATGTCGAGGGTCTCGATATTATGTCCGTGCCATCTGACTCCGATATTGGTTATATTCTAGAAGTCGATCTCGAATATCCGCGACATCTTCACGACGACCACGCGACCATCTTCCGTTTTGCCCGACGCGCGAGAGACCGCCGGGAAATCGAAACGAAAAGCTACTCGCCACGCTCTACGACAAGTCGCGTTACGTGACGTATTATCGCAATCTTCAGCAGTGCGTGCGACACGCGTGACAAAGATCTATCGCGCGTTGCGATTCGCGCAGTCTCCTTGGTTGCGCGCGTACATCGAGCTCAATACAGAACGGAGAACTCGCGCGAGCAAGTTCGAGAGAAATCTGTATAAGCTAATGAACAACGCGGTTTTCGGCAAAACAATGGAGAACGCAATTACGTAGACGTGAGACTCGTGACGCGTTGGGACGAAAGATATGGCGCAGAGGTGCTGATCGCGAAACCGAATTTTCACAGTAGGAGCGTTTTCGACGAGAATCTTATAGCTATCGAGTTACGCAAACTCGAGGTTCAATTTAACAAACCAATCTACGTCGGTATGTGTATTCTAGAAATATCTAAGATGCGACTGTACGATTTTCATTACGATTATATGATACCGCTTTATCGCTCTAAATGCAAAATTATGTACATGGATACCGATAGTTTGATATATTTTCTGGAATGTCGAAATGTTTACGAGAATATGAAGCGAGATATCGCGAGATTTGACACTAGCGATTATTCCGACGACAACGCGTACGATATACCGCACGCGAATAAGAAGGTTCTTGGTTTGATGAAAGATGAAAACAACGGAGCGATCATGACGGAGTTCATAGGACTTAGGGCGAAGATGTATGCTCTGAGAGTTTTGGGAAAGAGCGATACGAAGAGAATAAAGGGAGGAATACCTACGTCGCGAAAACGATAACGTTCGAGGATTTCGCGCGTTGCTTGAACGAATCGTTGCAGCAATCGAGACGTCAGGCGTGCATACGCTCGATGCTGCACGAGATTTACATCGTGTCCGAATTAAAGCTAATTTTGAGTTCTTACGACGACAAGCGATACTTAATACCTGACTCCACTAATACATTACCGTGGGGCCATTATAAGATACCATTATTACATACTAATGTAGTATAAAAAATTTGTACCAATATAGAATAAGTAAAATTTGTACTAATATAGAATAAGTGATACTGTACATTCTTTATTCATTATAATAGAGCTGTTTTATGAATCCAAGAGTTATGTGTATTGTCCATTCCTAGCTATTTGACAAAAACTCTATCGTTCTTTCTACGTAATACTTTCTCAACGAGATAGATATCAGGATTGAAAACTCGCAGTAACTCGTGTTCGTAAAACCCTCCGGCTATTGGTTCTTTACGATATAGTCTTACGATTATAGTCTTTTAGCAGATATGTCACGGGATTCGTGTGTTGCATCTTAGCGATTCGAAAAATTTCAGTCGTCCAGTTAGGCGTATATCCCTTTTCGAAAATCGTTTTGAACTTGCTGACGCGTATCGGATCGTTCACCTTGAATCTTGCGGGGACTGTGATCTTCAAGTGACTGTATACCATGGAGAGGAGTCTCTTGGCAATGGCTGGAGTTACGTCCGCCGGTCGCATTCCGATCGTTCGATGCGTGCGATTGTTATACTCCGAGATTAAACGCGGTAGAGCGTCGAACCATCTGTACGATCCGTTTAGCGTGAAGAATTTCCACATGTAGTTCTTGAGCGTGCGATTAAATCGCTCCACCGCCGCCTTCATCACCGAGTACGTCGAGTAGGCGTATATCGTACCTATTAGTAATCGCTTTTACGGAGGCGTTGTAGAACTCCTTGCCCTTGTCCGTTTGTAGATTTCGCGGATGTCGAGCGTCGTCGCGAAATATCTTGGATAATGCCGCGGCTACCTCGCTTCCGCTCTTGCTCTTCAGCGGCACAGCTCACGCGTATTTGCTCAACACATCGATAACCGTCATCACGTAATTGTAGTCTTTGTTTTGTCGCGCGTACGAACGCATCTCAACGACATCGGCCTGCCACAGGTAGTCGTAATCGCGCACTACGACTCGACGACGCGGAAATTTCTTCGCGCGGGCTTGTGAAGCTCCTCGATGAGTCTCCTCTTCTCGACGCTCATCGACGTTGATTTTACGAGGAGGCGTGATTCGCATTGGTTTTATTCGTGCGTGTTCGCTCCTGTTCCTCATTCCAAACGTTAATCGTGTGTTTCATGATATTTGGAATATCCATTTTTAGTGCGATTAGCAATTCGTTTATCTTTTCTCTAGTCACTATTTTATCCACGTTCAACGAGGCCAGCGTCTTGTCCAGTGTCTCTCTCGTTACCGCTTTATTCGTTAGCTCTCTCGTGATTCTCGTCAGATCTGTCACGCTACGCGCGAGATTCTCCACGTTTGTCGATATTTTCTCGCGGCTCGTCGACGATGCGTCGAGCTCGTTTTGGACGGATTTCTCTAGATTATGCTGTGATTCCTCTAGGATCTGTGTTCATTTCTCCTGAGCGTCGCTGATCGTCTCGACGGTCTTTCGAATCTCGCTCGAGTCTCTAGTTCGCACTTTGTCTTGTTTTTCCTTCATTCGTCCTAACTCACGTTGAAACATGAGCAGATCTTTAATTCGTTGATTGTTCCGTTTATCGAGTGCTTGTTTCGTTTCTCTTATTCGTTTATCGAAATCGACGAACAAGGCTTCCCTCCTTTCCTCGATCTGTCGCAGCGATTCCTTTAGATTTCGCGTTCGTTTCTCCTGAGTGTCACCGAGCGTCTCGATGACTCCTCGGATCTCGCTCAGATCTCTCTCTCGCGATTCGTCCCGTTTTTCGAGCTCTTGTTCCACCGTGTCTCTCATCTCCTCTATTCGTTTGTCGTGATCGACGAGCGAGGCTTCGCTCTTCTTCTCGAGATGCCGCAGAATGTTCACCTCGGTTTTTATGTCGTAATACTGCAGGAGAATATTTCGAATTCGCTTGTTCATATCTTCTAGCTCGTTCGTTAGAACTTTCGATTCCTCGCTCCTCACGCGAAGCGCTTCGTCGACATAACCTTTGGTTGTCGCGTCGGTATCATCAATCGGTGTGTCCAAATGGCGTATCTTATGTCTGTTGACGTCGTAGTCGTCCGGATTAAGGCAGAGCGCGCTGCGACGCACGTACGCCCGCAGGGATGCGATCGTCGAACGATCGTCAATGCCGCGTTGCTTTTCCAGAGATTTCTTGAATTTATTCACGGACATCATGCCCTCGCGGGTGATGAATCTACCGCGCGTGATAATCTGCTCGTAATCTCGGCGATCTGCATATCGTATTTGAGAAACAATCTGGCTACGCGCGTCATAGATTCCTCCAATTCGCCGATCGATCTAACCGTACTCTCGTTCATCTTCGACAATAAAGTTCGAGTGCTTGTCAAGAATTCGCTCGTCTCAGAGATTTTCGCTTCCGCGTCTCGAAACGAGCTGTCCACGTAACTTTTACTCGCGGCGTCGGTATCGGTTCTAGGTGTGGCTAAACACCGTATAATTTTGTCTCTAGCGTCGTAGTAATCGTCACTTAGACAGAGAGCGTTATTACGCATATAGCGACGTAAGGAATCGATCGACGGTCGCGAGCGTGCCCTGTCGCCTCCGCCGAACGACTCCAGCGGTCTTCCGAACTTGTTCACCAACATAACGGGAATACCGGTCGCCACCAACGCGCACCACGTTTTACTCGATCGCGTCGATCTCGCGAAGTTCCTCGAGAATCGATAGAATCTCGTTGTCGTGAGCGTCGTTGCCAGCTCGTCTAGAAGCATCGAGCAATCGAAGACGATCGACTAGTTCGTTGAGATCGTTCCAATGGACATACTCGATTCCTTTGTTTCTCACCCGCATAGCGGATGGAATAGAGCCGATCCCTGTTTTTCTCGCTTTACTAATACCAGCGCTACTTTTGTCCTTATCGAGCAATAGCGGCGCGATGATATGTTTGTACTTGAAACCTTTGTTTCCTAGAATAGGCATAAGCGCATTGTGGCCACGTCGATGGGCGTTTGTAGTTAACAGTACACTCTTGTACGTTTGCTTGTCGTTCTCCGTGCACAGCGTCGTCGGGAAGTCTCTTGAAGATCAACTCGTATAAGCCCGGGGTACCTGGATATCGCGTGTCGCCCACGATCACGCTGTCGACGGTCACGTCGAATCGCCTATCGCCAAGCATCGAGCCGTCTAAATCGAAGTACACTCCGTAAACGTGATCGATCTCGCTCTGTTTGTCCCCGCTTAGAAACGCGCCCATATATTTGCGACCTAACGGTCTCCATTGCGCGTTCGAGATTGATTCTTCCGATTCGTTTCTAGTCGCGGGACTTACCGTCGCGATCAAGGGCGATCTCGTCGAGAGACGTCTTCTCGTCGATCTAGACTAGATGGCTCATTGTCGTCATCGGTTTCGCGTTTTCTCTTAGCACCGACGAACGCGAGCGGGTCGATTCTCTCGTCTCGCGTAGTCGGTGTTCTCGACAATTCGTTTCAATGGCTGAACGATCGATTTGAGTCGTCTCTCCAGCGCGATCTCCTCTTCTATCTCACCGGTCTTTAACTCTCTGTACTTTTTACGTATAGAGTTCTGAGTCTTCGCGATCTCTCGCGCCGTTTTTTCCAGCCGAGCGACATTCGTACCAGCCGTAGCGTCAACATTCATACTCGCAGCAACGTCAACGTCCAATCTCGTAGCACAACTGATCGCTTTACACCACGGCGAAATCGTTAAATCTTCGTCTGTATCTGCCATTTCTTAACGCGCTGTTTTTATCGATGACTACGAAACCATATTTGCGTTTCCAACACGCGCGACATAAGGCGTAAAAATTCTCATACGACATATCCGTGTTCACGTGCTCGTTGTAAACGTGCTTTAGGTTAGTGCCATCTTGTTTAAACAGAATCAAGAGATTCGCGTTGTCGCGTATCAGGTGTTTTAGAATTTTAGCGTATGTCTGACAAAGATAGAAACAATCGATGTTCGAGTGTCGACCCATGGCAAAATATTCCCTAATCGCGTTCTGCTTGTCACAGGCCACGTCGTCGAACACAAATATCGAATCGGGAAGCGTCTCGCTCGGTGGCACATCGCTATTGTTTGAGAACGCGCGATAGCCGATCTCGTCCATCGACTCGAGCAGTTCCGCCAGATATCGATATTTTGGTTGTTGCAGAGATTTCGAGTAGACGTACACATTCTCAAAGCGTGCGCCATGCGGACTTTCGAGCATACTTATCAACACATTCGTTTTACCACAATTGGAGGAGCCGCAAATGATGCAACGTGTCGGTAGTAGAGGGCCGTGTCTGCGCATCCTCCCGACCGCGTCGCCCGAGATTCGTCGAGCCTTACGATCGAGATTGAGCATTCCTATAGCTGGCGACCGTCGAACGAATCGCATTTACGCGCGCTCGCTTCGAGAAGACGCGACCGATAATTGCTCCACTTATACTCGACGGCGATTCGATCGCGCACAGTGATCGATATGTTTCCCCTATTAACGGACAAACGCGATATTCTATCCGCTCAACAGTAGCAATTTATTCCGAAGTTCGTTCTCGTGCGTGATTTCGACAGATACGTGAAGCTACTGTGGGACAGATTACCCGATCATCTGAGAGCGGATCTCGAGGTACAACGTTGTCGCATGTCTGGAACATTATAATCGTCCGTGGCAACAATCGCATATAGACAGTCCTGCGCCTCTTATCAAAAATTGTAACGAATGTTTAGCGGCGTGGGACTACTCAATACGGCGATAAACGTGCTTCCCTTCGAACTACATATTCCCAGGTATCAATTTTGTGGACCCGGCATCCATCTCGCGAAACGATTGGCGCGTGGCGATCAAGGCGTAAATCCGTTGGCTTTAGCAGCATTTTTCTTCAGATGAAACGCGAAGTGGATGGAAAATCGAATATGCTCTTTTATTATTGCCATCGTGAACACTACTAATTTTTGAGGTTATGTGCATCAAACGCCAAACCGTATGGCATTTTAGAAAGCCAAATGAAAACGCTTTAAAATCGCAAAAGGGCGGGAAGATATATAAAATTTAAATTATTATTTCGGTTGTATGAAATCTAAAGCTCAGAACTTTTTTGTACACCTAATATTAAAAGTTTGTTTAGGATGTAGTCACTTCAAATGTATCAATAATATTTAATAAATACTTAAGATTTTTTTATGTTTCTTTTCTTTAAAATATATTTTGTTCAAAAGCAGGCACTAAAAAAATCTAACAAAAAAGAATTACAACAATATAGTTTAAATGAATATAAGAAGTTTTTATATAATAATAATATTGAAGAAAACTCGGAAATTAACAATTTCTACTGAGCATGTAACAGCATATTTTAATGGACATACTGCTAACTGATGTTCACAGATTTAAGAAAAA